CGTGACAGGGCTATTAATCACGTGTTTTGTCGTGATCTTCACTTAACCTTAGTGCTTTCCGGTCTTTTACAAAAAGATCTGATCAAAGGAAAGTGAAGTTTTGCGTAAAATTCTTTGAAGCAATATTATTGTCAGGCTTATCCCAGTCCGGGCCACAACCAGATCTGGATATATGATGACGTCACCCACATTGGCAAAATGGCGCCCACGCCGAGAAACACGAGAGAAGGTCACTTCCAGGCTCTTTGCTGCGCCTAGAAGTGTCTTTTTCCCACACTACTTTGAGAGCTGTGACTTTAGACAATCAGAAATCAGGGGTGTGAAGAAAAAATGCCGTCCGATGAACGTTTGTGCGTTCTTGGGAGGTAAAACGACGGAACACGAGAGTTTTTCAGCTCAAAGAAATGCCGGACAAGGCGCAAAACATCTAAAAAAAGAAGGTGAGTTTCAATTTTCTGATTCTTGAAAAAAATGTTTTGAAATCTACATAAAATTTGCTCGTTGATGGTGGTCTGTTTGGTGTACTGCATAGCGAATTCAAATAGTGCTGTGCTTTCGAAGATTCAATAGTCAGTTGCGCCGTTCACGTGCTGGTTTTCATTGTAACGCTATGTTTATTTTATGTTATCTTGCAGTCGGATAGAAAAGCAAAAGCACCTTGTTTTTGTGGCAAAAAGATGCCGCCGGTTTGTTCGTGGAGAACCGTAACCATGGTCTTGCCTGATCACAAAGTGGCAATAACAAAACAGTTCAAACACTGTTAAGCTTATTCAAAAGCTATTGGCAAGGAAGGGAATACGCGCTCCAGTTAGAAGACTCGCATTTATAGAAAAACACCAAGCTGGAGTCTATTGATTCATAATGCATTTCTCCATAGTTGATGCAGTTTCAGTTGAAGCTGCGCTTAATTCTTATAATTTTGTATCTGTAAATCACTATCCGTGATAATTTAACATCCTGCAAAGAAAATTCATGAGCTGGGCCCAGCGTGATACAACATTGCAAAAAAAACAACATTTTTATTTACATTCACGGACTAACAAAAACCGCTTAGTTATTCAGATCGAGGAGGCACTTTGGAGAAAATTAGAACCCTTATTCAGCCGTAATAAAATGCTTTGCGCTTCAACAACTGAGGTCACAGAAAATGCTCTTGCATTAGAGGGAAAATCCTTCAGACGACCATTTACAAAAACCACAGTAAATTGATATGTGTGCCAGGACTGCTCTCAGTGTGAAACAAGCGGCTAATATATATATTTAGCCACAGCTAAAAGCGAAGCTCCCATTGATAAATTTATAACTTAAATCAAACAATAATTTTATATTCCACAAATCAGTTAACTTAAGGGCACATTCATGTGACTTTTGAGGGAAAAGCTAAGTGATTTTGGAGTGAAACAAATTTTGTATCGAGTTGATATAGCCTTATATGTACACCCACAAAATAGTCTTCGGTCACATTTAAGAGCAATGATGGCTCTTGATCACAGTAGATAAGGCGTGGAAAACAAATTCTTGGAAAACAAATCAGACCGAATTTTTTGCGTTCGACGTTTACAAATTCTTACCAATAAATCTGGGTGCGTGCAAACCAATCTTTTATTTTTTTTATACACCACATCTGAGGAGAAAGAGTACTATGAGGCGCTGTTTTTATCATACAGACCTCGTAAAAATACAGTATTTCACAATTTTTCAAGACAAATTGCATTCATTCAATATTCAGGACCATCGAAGCACGCGTGGACTTTTAATTCGCGAAACCGTTCAAAAAATTTCCAAAATCACGGCCAGCCAGTTCTAACTTTTGACAAGCGCCAAATTTGCGAAGAAATTTTAAAAGAGTTACGCTTCTTCGTAATAAAGAATTTATTGAGTCTATTTTTTATTAACGGTTTTATAACGATGTGTAATCTAAAAAGGCGTTTGATACGCTTGGCATTTTGAGTACTCCTGCAAGCGATGTTTATGAACGGCTGAAAACAAACGGCAAAGCGATGAAAATTACACTTTTGAGACTACCAAAAATCAATAAAGAAAAATAATTCGATAGAACATTTACAGAGACAACAATTTTCATTCACGAAAACAAACGAGTATTTAAGGGTGTCTAAGAATCCTCAAGTCTTTACTAGTAAGCTTAAAGTTTATGTTTTAAGCCGCCGGTTTCCCGGTGTTGGCTGTTTTCAAAGATGAACTCACGCCAAGAAAATCGCTCAAAGTTTTCTTTCTACAACCAAAATTATAACTAAATATTCCTCGGAAAGTTTTTTCTTTCTATTTACGGTGAATTAATATCGACTAAAGGCTTTTTAAAGTTCTGTAAGCTTAAGCTTATATCAAACCTCACTGACGAGGTCAGATCAGTGTCTCAGTCAAATCTTAATACAAACGTGCATAAACTAGCTTCATAAACTGCGCCGCTGGACTTCATGAAATTAGATTTAAATACAATAATTACTCAGGCTTACCATATTTCGAGATGCAGCTCCTGAAAGCTATCAAGTAAGGCAAGGATCGCTTGAGCCTTATAACTCTCGTACGCATCCAGCAGGGTGAACAACAAAAACGATGCCACCCGAAACTGGATTATCGGCTTTGACAAGCGACGCATTTTTCAACCAAAAACCCAATAAACAAACCAGCCATGAATAAGAAAACACTCTTGATAGCAGCTGTATTTCATTTTGTACTTCCAGTGGAAAAAGACAGTTAAAAACATCACAAGTTGACTCAAAACTCTGTCAGCTTCAGCTGTCAAACTAAACAACTTTCAAGATGCTGCATAAATTTTACGCATGAACTCACCTGTCAAATTTTAACCAATCAGAGCATAAAAATTGGATGTGGAGCGTGACCAACACGTGACCATGGTAAGAAAAGGTCTTCCCCGCCTGTAATTTAAAAAAACTGGCTGAATTTTTGCGTCTGAGGTCAGTTTGAAACCAAAATCGTAATAGTGCGGGGCGATACTGACATAAACACAACATATTTGTTGTGAATTTAACACAAAAGTAAACGTGAGCCTGCGATCATTTGAAAACGAGTAAATTGTCAGCGGATAACTTCAAAAAATACTCGGCCTTGATGGGTCGACACCTGAGCCCGCGATACGGTCAGGTGATAGTGGTCAGCGGATACCCTGTTTTGACAGCTGTTAATTGATGACAACATTGATATGCAATCAGCTTTCTCCTGGGCTCCAAAAGTAGCTAGAAAGTGTGAGAGTAAACATTGGTAAGCCTGTGGTGCGGACGAACGGTCGGTCGGTCGGTCGATCGCTCACGTGATTACCAAATTTTCTGGGATGGGTAGATTTCCTTAGCTATGGGGCTCCGCCCACGCGCGCGTGGAGCTCCGCTAAAATCACAATCGCTCAGTGAAAATGGGCAACCTTCCAGATCATAATCTACCCAGCAGAGGAAAAAAACTTAATTGGAACGAGCAGCATTTTGGCATGAGGTAAAAGTCGTGTAGGCCTACCAGTACACTTTATTGCTATTAGAACACCATAAAGTCCACCTCTGAACTGGTGAATGGTATTTTAATATTTTCATCCGCAATGGGGTTTTGCAACACGCAATATCGCATATTAATCCAAGATGTTTTACGATTGAAATATTGAAAATTAATATGCAGCACTCCTTCGATCGTAATTAGTAGCGCGTATGGTATTGTTCCCGAAGAAGCACAGAACACACTACTCTAGGCCGAAGCGGTGCTCGCAAAAAGTACTCCAAACACGACTTCTTTATACCTTTCCACTTAAAATGTATCAGTATTTCATCTATTCAAATTCCCTACACTTCCCTTTCGATCGGTGTCGTTGAGTTGCTTCGGCTCTCTTGAAATCAGAAGTCCAGGCGTTTTTACAGAAACCTTCGTCGATCATTATCATCTTGATATTTGTAAATTGAATGCTAAGACGCATAAAATCATCTCGATTAATTGGTTTGGTATTACACGCGGTTACTTTTCTTCAAGGAACATCCCAGCCATAGCACTCTTTGCTGCGACATTTCTGTCGAACTTAGTCCTTTCGCGGTCAAATCAATGTTTTGGTTGCGGTCTGAACCAATCACATTGCAGGAAATTACATATCCAGATCTGGTTGTGGCCCGGACTGTATCTTGTCACACAAGGTTTGCCCTCCCACCCCTCCCCCTCCCTCCACTCTTCTTCCCTCTCCCGTCCTGTTGTGCAAGTTCACTATTACGAACAAGGGGAATGTAATTGATGCAGAAAATATACCCTAAGGAGATGGATAATAAATGATAATTTCATCCGGGGTCCATGGGTGGGAGAGCGTACAGCAGTATTTCACATAAAAGAGCTTAGGTGTGAGTAATACTTTCCGCTGAGATAAGTTTGGGCAGGATGATACTCTGTTCAGTTGTTTTAAGAAGTTACACACTCATTCCAAAGGCTTCAATACGTTTACATGAAGATACAGTCAAACAACCGCTCCGCACTGAAAAGTCACAAGACAATAAAATTATGTCATAATAGTACTGAACAAATATATCTATATTTGTACCGATGATTCTTTGAGCCTTTCGCTTTACAAAATGAGCTGTGCCCAGTTGTTCAAAGGGTGGATAACGCTATCCACTGAATAAATGATCTCTATCCGGTGGATAGCGCAATTGTTTTTCCCACTGCTTATCCGGCGCTGGATAGTGATTTATCCGGTGAATGGTGCTATCCAACGTTTGAAGAACTGGGACCAGGAGTGTAAGAAAGCCATTTAACATCGGCAACGCCCTAGAAGAAGAGCCACAAAGTGAGTTATGACGAATTTAAACTTATCATAATTATTTAAATCATGAAAATTCTTTGCATTACTCACCAGTAAAAAAACAATCCCGTACTTACACTAAAAGGCTTTTTATTCGCGGATCTTGACTATTTTTTTTTAACAGACGATACAATTAATGTTGTTCAGCAAATACGTATTAGTGATTATTGATTATTTTTAAAATGATCAGTGAATCTTTTTCTTTTTTTCAGTATCGTTCAAAGCAGTTTTTACAAACCTTGGTGCGAGTGGAAGACTGGGTCCAACTTCTCTAGGTAGTTACTACAGTGGTCAGGATCATGACGGTCAAGTTACATTGGTCAGTGGTATTCAACAATGGACTGTGCCTAAAACAGGTGACTACAGAATAGAGCCAATAGGGGCTGCAGGGGGATATGGCTTCAACAGCAACAATGGTCAGTATCGCGGCAGAGGTGCAAGAATTAAAGGGACTTTTCGCCTTTTCAAAGGAGAAACAATTCAAATACTTGTTGGTCAAGAGGGAAGTATAAACCTTAATGGTAATAGCTGTGGTGGTGGTGGAGGTACGTTTGTGGTGAGAGGACGGAACACGCCTTTAATAATAGCTGGAGGAGGGGGAGGCATGGAAGCTGCTCGATCAAGACATTCGGGATGCGATGCTTCTACAGGGACAACAGGGAATTCTGGGTACAAGTCATGGTCAGGAGGGAGTGGTGGACAAGGAGCAACGACCGCTGACAATGACAACTCAGGTGAACCGAGCGTGTCAAGATGAGTATAGTAGGGCCACCACGACAGCAATCTTTGCTAAATCTAGATGTAAAATCTAACTTAACATCCGCCTTCTTCAAATAGCCTCAATATGGAGGCTAAACTCATCGACGGAGGTCAAAGTCCCCAACTTCTTGTATCAACTTTTAGAGTCATAAGAGAGACGTTATATAGGTCACTCATGAATTAAAAACAAACCAAGAAAAACTCTAGCTCTCCTTAGGATTCGAACTAATGACATCAAAGACAACAGTCCGCGTTTAAAAGCAAATTTCCTCATTGCAAAGTTTTGACTTTTTCTTGTCTCTTTTGACTATTTTTTCAAATCAATTAAGACTCGGAAAATGAAGGAACTTCAGTCATCAGCGTTCATAGCTGCCCAAGACTTTCTTATCATGTTTCCTTAAGATTACTCAGAAGAAGTTAACAATCTTCGCGTGCTAATAAACTATACTTGGATAGTTAAAGACGAACAAGAGGTTCATACTTAGAACCGAAGTAAGGCGAACACTATACCTAGCCCTAGTTAGGCCACGCTGATTTGGGAAATTCCAGGCAATTTAGGCCCCGCAGTCAATCGAGCTCATTGTCAAGCTTGAGCGTATCCAAAGACGCGCGACTAAGTTTATCTTAAAACTGCCTTATTCTTCTAATATAAGTTATAAACCTCGTTTATACTACTACATGAGGAATTTCTGCAATCTAATTGGCTTAGAGCTGATTGGCTTAATTTGAAATACCTACATGTGAAAATTACAAACCTTTTGAGGGTAGTAGTATAAACAAATAATAGCATGATTTGTACGTGATATTTGGCATAAATGCCCTTCGTGATATTTCAAAATTGTCTCAAATTTCACTCGCCTAACGGCTCGTGAAATTACGTATAACGATTTCGAAATATCACTCGTGGTATTTATGCCAAATATCACTACAAATCATGCCATTACCTATACTTACAAACTCTAAACCTAATACCTATTTGTTACTGGCACGAACTTTTAGATGTACCCTTAATGCTCGTCCTTTGTTTCGTCCAATAACTTGTTGTATGTAGCTGTAGCTTTTGTTGTATCGCTGTGTTTTTTAGTATTTCTTGTCTTTTTTTTAGTAGTATCCCGGCCCGCTGTACTAGTGGCCACAGCTGTTAAGGTGTCCCTGCCAACATTCTTTTTGATTGTTTTGTTTATTTGTTTGTTTGTTTGTTTGTTTTTTGGCGAAGCTAATAAAAAAAGAAGTGTATGTTAAAGTAGTTTAAATACCAATAATCCATGAAATTAATTTCGATTTGCTATATTGTTCCTCATATAAATCAAATACATGTCAAGGCAGATAATATGAGATAAATACATTCAAAGATATAGAAATAAGACTAGGTTTTAATGACCTGGATTAACTCTGATTGAAATTGGTGGTATGCATTTGTATTTAACAAATAAAAAGGCATATGATAATAGTGACGCATATCGAAGCCTAAAATATGGGTCGCTGAAAAGAATAATTGTTAATAGTAGTCTCCCAGTATTATAGATATAGGACAGGTGATGCGATTACTTTTATCAATAGAATCTTAATTGATTTGTTAAATGAAAAAAAGCCTCTGCAAGAAATCCACCCGCACATGGCAACTGTTGTAAGTAAAGAGTTATTTAATGTTATTTATATTTTAGGTGGAGGCGGTGGTGGATTTTATTCCAGTGGAAGGAGCTCAACAAGCTTCGGAGGTTCAATGGGGCGTGGCGGAGAAGGAGGCAAAGGATTTCTTCAGGGAGGAGTGGGTGGAAGAGCCTTGTATAACAATGCTGTAGGCGGGTTTGGAGGGGGCGGTGGCGCTTATGGAGGGGGAGGGGGTGCTGGAGGTGGAGGAGGCTACTCTGGCGGAAGTAGCGGGAATAATGAATATGACTCCTGTGGAGGAGGGGGAGGATCTTACAATACTGGAAAGAATCAGCAAAATGAATGCTGTTATAAAACAGCTGGACATGGTCAGGTGACCATAACATTGATATAGATTTCAAACTGTAACTTAGCAAGTAGTGTGGTTTAACAAGTTCGTAAGATTTTAGAGCATGGTGAACCAGTGTAGATATTGAGATTGTTGTCCATGTATTGAAACCTTTATAGTCACTTTTTAGCCACTACTAAAAATAATAAAAATGAAGCCAGGCAAAGTGTAGCGCTTATAAGACCGGCAGGTACGGGACGACAAAGGACAGATATAAAAGTAAAGACTTTTCTCATCACTGGACTGACCGTCAGTAGAATGCCCCCTTGCTTTGAATCATATAAACTCCCCATCTTGAAAGGCAAGAGTAGCAGAGGGGTATGCCGGGCTCCACTTCCGAGCACCAAGTGTGAACATTACGTAAGCTCTCTTTTGTCCACTGTGTAGTTACATTGAATATTTTTACCACGCCTTATCGTGCTGTGGAAATTTCAAAAAATTTTATCGTAATTACTGAGTGATCTTGTTCTGGATACAGTGTATAGTCTCCGGTCTGACAGGAATAATAGTGCTGTCATTCCCAAATTTAAAAACTTTAACAATGCTTGGGCGACCGCGCTTTCGTTGCTCCTGCGCCTAACCTCTGGAACGGTTTACATCTGCAATGGAATGGCCAGATCTGGTTTTTAAGACTTATCTTTTTACTAAGGTTTGTTCTTAGTTAGGTTTGTGTAATACCTTTCCACAATGCATTATTAAGTTATTGCCCATGCGTGGATCCAGAAAGGGGAAATTCTGAGGAGGCATGCTAGTAGGTCATGCGTGTGCAAAGGAGAGCATTTACAGTTACCCAATTTTAAAGTCACACAAAATTATACAGGTGGAAACGAGGCTGTAGTTGACCTTGCTTTGATACAACCCTTCCTGCTTTATTACGTATAACGTGTTGTTCGTATGTTAACTAGTATTTTTAAGCATAGTTTCCATAAAAAAAGGAAGGAGGATTGCATCAAAAGGTCAAGCCTCAGCCTAACGTTCACTTAAGGGCTAGGATACTAAATCCACGACTGTAAAATAGCCACGGTCTGCCTAGTATTAGAAATAACATGATAGCGGCCTATGGTTTGAATATCCGACTGTTCGACTGTAATTGAAAATAATATAAAGAACGTAGAATATAAGCACTCTTCGAAAACGGTCACATTTCCATAGTCTTTAAACTTCAATGATCGTTTACTCGAATTAATAGAAGAAAGAATCAAACGAATGTCATTTATGCTATATGTTCCTTTAGATGGTATTATTGAGGCAGTTATTGCTGTTGGTGGAGTCTCGCTTTGGGTGAGCTCTGTTTCTCTGGGATACCCAATAATGACAGTTCCAGTTTGGGATAAATTTGGCCACACGAGTGGCCGTTTATTTCATTTAAGCACATCGAGCTAGGAAAATCCAGATACACAAGAAGATTTATCCGAGCAAATTAAAGGTGAGGGCACACCCGCCATCCGGGAGATGAAAGTGGAGCCAAAGGGAAGGGAACGGAGGGAAAAATGTTTTCCAACTTTCTTGTTGCAGTGAGCAGAGAGGCCTTGTGCCTCTCTTTAATGTCATAAAAACACATATATAATTTCCCGGATGGCAGTAACGCCCTCTCCCCAGAAGCTGGGGAAATGACACATTAATGAGTCACATTAACCATAAAACCACATATTTCTTTCAGAAATAGATTTCCTATATAGCTGATTCAATAAAATTGCTTTGGGCACTGGTAATTGGTATTGCTTTGTCGTCACTCAAGCAAAACATTGTATGCCCAAGTTGTATGCCCAAATGCCCAATTGCCTAAGCAACCTTCATTGAATTAAGGTATATATTTTTCAATCATTTATCTTTAGTCTTCATATCGCAATAAGCGAGCACAGTAGAAACAAGTTAAATGGTACTCAGCCAGTACTTCTTGCTATCACCTTTATAGGATTATTGTTCTATGACTCCATAATTCAGGTGTCGAAAACGCGTTAAATCCGAAAAATCAATATGCAATAAGTCTGGTTAATAGGCTTGTCCCTCCCCATGCTCATCGCTCATCCAAAAAATGCCTATTTTGGCAAAACACAGGGGCGTGGCGTTCGACATGTTAATCTGGTAAGTTCCTCACAGCGTCATGTATACAAATGTAGCAATCATGGCAGAAATCTGCGCTCAAACGCTCCAAAGCTAAATGCTTTCAAAGCAAACCTGGTCATTTATCAGTGAACTCATACAAAACAGAAGAATTGCGCTTATTTGATTTACAGGAAATGAAAAAAAAATCAATTATCATAAGCCTGTATGAAGTACAGGATGCATTATTAACTACGAGGTTAGAGAGTTCTTCTACGTGGAGGACGAAAAAAGACATGCTTATGCCTGATACATTGTAATTGTTTTTATACGGTTAACGGCAGAACGCTTTAAAACATAATAGAAACTGCATCGGCTGGTAATTGCAGGAATAATTACGGTGAAAAAAAAATTAGTGAATGTCTGCAAACGAGACTCGAACCTGCCTAAAAACCTCACAGATACACTACTCTTGCTCGCTAGACCTGTAGGCAATCCATGGAGAGGCTGTTACCTTGGCGCTATTTTGTGTATCGGTGCCTTTACATATCATTGTTAGTGGTATTTTATCTATATACTTTTTTTTTTCATTTTAGGAAATCGAAGACGATTTGTGTTGACAAACAGAAGGATTAGCACGATTTACAACAGTCACGGTTTTTTTTTTTATTTTTATTTTTATTTTTTTTTTACAATTTTGTCGTGGTACAGTAAAGTAAGAGACCGTGAGTCACTTTTATTTCAATTGGCTGTTAATCGTAATTAACAGTTGAAAACCGTTGCAATGCATCTTAAATCACACAAAAACCTTTTGGTAAACCGTCAGTGAAACGTCGACTGTGTCATTTTAACAAACTTCGATTGTGCTAGACAGTTTAAAGTTTTAGCTAAAAGTTTCAGTCTTTCATCATTGTTGGTATTTCAGCGAGACATAAAAAATCCAAAGTCTAGCAACCCCTGAGAAATAACTTTAATGGTCCTTTTTACCCTGTCGCAGAACTGATCTTTCTATAATTTACGAGTAATGCCATATGCACGCCTTTCTCTAACCTCCTGGACACGATGTGCAAAAATGTTCTCTTAGGGTATAGTAAGTCTGGACGTCCTCGGTGACGCCTGTGACTGGGTCACAGACCAGTGTTTTCAAGCAATAAATGTGTTGAAAGATAACTCTCTAATAGAGAGTGACCAAAATTTCGTGACGTTGACACCTTCCATACAATCTTGGACAAAATAGATGGGAAATTTGTACCCCACCCCCCTCCCCCTCTCCCAAATCAAGGATGAGAAAATAGCGCGTTTGGCTTTTGCGCTGTTTCATCCCTGATTTAGGGGGATGGGGATTTGCTGATCCATTTTATTCTGTCAAAGATTGTAACTACGGCCCTGATTCGAAATGAAATTGTCGGCATCAAATCGATGACCATTAATAGAACCTTTGAGATATCATTAATATGCACGTTGGTGTAGTTTTTTTAAAGACTTTTCTATTGTGCCCTAAGATACAAACGATCTTGAAATCACTAATTCAGCGAGAAATTGCACTAGACTTGGGCCACATCTACTCATGAGAACAAGATTTTTGAGCAAGTATAGAGTGTTTTCACATGACGTCACGGCGGCCATATTGGTGTTCCAAAACAATGAAACGGCGGCCACGTTAGTGTCCCAAACCAGTCCTGTAGGAGTTGAACTCCTTTCTTGTGCAAACGCTTTCTTTTGTTCCAATATTAAAATTTGCATAGATGCTGGCCACGTGAGTGAAAACACCCCAGACACCTATTTCAGTTAAGTTTTATCCCATGAAACATGATGCATGATGCATGATGATTCGCGTTTCATGGCCTGCGGTGCATTGTGGTAGATCTTTGTGCACGCCTGTGCTCAGCAACCGATAAAATAATGAAGACGTGCAAATTAACAGCTGTTTAAAATTACTAACAAACAATAAGAACGCAGTGAAAATGAGTTTTCAGCTCAAAAAGATACCGAACTGATTGTCAACTGCAAGCGAGCTGAAGAATTTCATTGTGACAGAGAAATAAAGAGCCGTCAACGTGGACAGCTTTGAAATAGGATTTTACGGTCCTCCTTCTTACATGTACCTTGTGTTGTAAATCTTTCAGGCCTAATAAATACTAAAACTCGTAAAGCAATTTAGGTTTTTTTATTATAATACACAAGCCTCATAATAGGGACCTTAAAATCTGAGGACAGCGGCGAAAACGTTCCATTAAAAGTGAATTCGCCTTCTTTTAATCTTCATCACGATTATTCCAACTCACTCACTTTGTCAAATGTAGGTGAAGTTAAGAAAGAGAGGGAGAATTTCGTCTTCGCAGTGTTTACGTCCTCCATAAAACGTGAAAATTAAGCATTTTCACGTCGTGGTCGTGTATTGACAGCAACGAAATGTACAACAAAGCCTGATGCACATGCAGAGTTGTTGTTTTGCTTTATTGACCAACTGCTTTTTTGACGTTCTTCAAGGGTTGCTGTCTCTATCTTACCGTCTTCTTTGCGTCCACTTAACCCGAAACAAAATAACAAAGTATGTAGCGTCTTGGAGTCTGGATATTCCATGATGAAAACCGGCGTGTTCCTCTGAATACCCTCAAAAATGACGAAACCAAATTGCCCTCCAACGGAGGTGTTCCGAGTACGCGACGCAGGCATATTTGACAAACTGTGCTTGGTCCCATACTGCACCTACTGTAAGCTATGAAACATGGATCATGAACCATGCATCATTTTTGACGAGAGCAACCTTAATTGAAACTGGTGTATTTGATAAGTTCTCCTTTCTTCTTAGAGCTAGCCTGACAGCAAGCTCTCCATTTAAAGATAGCGTCTCCTTTCGCTTACTGCTCTCGCGTGAGCGAAATAATATATTGTTAGAGCAAAATACTTGTTTCTGAGTTTATTTTAGGATCATATCTTGACTGTTATTTTTTCATTTGGGA